GCTGAACATTCGCCAGCCGCTTTCGGTGGGCGGCTGGGTTCCCGGGATCCTGGTTCCGGGTTCCCCGACGATTTCGGTGGGCGGCGGTTTCCATGGTTCCTGGTCGATATTATCATCGATCGGTCTCACCTTCGATCTCAGTCGATTTCACAATCGATCTCGCTCTCGATCTCACAATCGATCTCACTATAGATCGCACGATCGATCTCATTCAAAACCTCACAACCGCCTTTACCATCAATTCCGCGATGGATATCGCAATCGATCTCAACATTCGGGAGAGCGCGTCACGGGCGCTTGCCTTGGGAACATTCGGCGGCGCGTTTCGAAACGGGGGGTGGGCCCCCCCCCGACTCGGCGCCGTCGATCAGAACCAGGGGGACTCCCCTCCCTCCTAAACCCACCCACTCCCGAACCCCCCCCCCCTCCCAAGGGGGGTTCAAACCACTTTCCCTCCTGGCGCTGGCGCCGGCGGGCCCCAGCAGCGCCGACGGAGGGGACGCAGCGAGGATGACCAGAGGCAGCCAAGGGGGGGAAGGGGGGGGCGTTCCAAACCCCACCCCCGCGCCGGCGCCGGCGCTGGCGGCGACCAACAGCGCCGACGGCGGGGACGCAGCGACGATTACCACAGAGGGCCCAGAAGGCCGCAGAGGGAACACACACACACAAATCGCCATATCGAGCCCTCGCCCCTCAGAAGCCACCGGGAGGCCCTTAGGAAGGTCCACGAGGCTTCACGCATCCTCCTCAGACGCCCCCGACACCCTTCTGACGAGACCGCAAGAGGCATCCATTAGAACTCTGACCCGAAGCCAAAACACGGTGGCGGGAAGAGCCGAAGGCCACACCACCACCACCACCACCACCACCACCACCACAAACCACAACACCACCACCACCACCACAACAACTACAACCACCACGAGCACAACCACCTCAACCGACCACCACCACAACCACCACCATCACAACAAACCGCTACACGACCACCACCAGAAACGCCACCACCACCAGCACCACCACAACCCACCACAACCCACCACAACCACCACCCAAAATCACCACACCGTCACCAGCACTATCTCCACCGCCGCCACCACCACAACCATCACAACACACCACCACCTCCACCACCACAAACCACCACACCACCACCACCACCACCACATCCACCACCACTACCACCACCACCACCACCACCACCACACCGCCACCACCCACCACCACCACCAGCACCGCCACCAGCAGCACCACCACAAACCACCATGCCACCACCACGACCACCACCACCACTTCAACCCACCACCACCACTTCAACCCACCACCACCACCAAACCAACACACAACCACCACCACCACAGCCACCAGCACCACCACACCAAGTCACCACCACCACCACAACAACAACCCACCACCACAATCTACTACACCACCACGCCATCACAGCCACAACCACCAGCACCACCACCACAACCCACCACACCACCACCACCACCAAAAGCCACCACTTTACCACCACCACCACCGCCACCACCACCACCAGCACCACCTCCACAAACCACCGCCACCACCACCACCGCCACCGACACCACAAACCACAACCACCACCACCGCCACCACCACCACAACCACTACCACCACCACAACCACCACGACAAGCCACCACACCAAAACCGCCACCACCACCCCCACCACCTTAACCCACAACTACCATCACCGCCACCACCAGAATCCACCGCACCACCTCCACCACAACCACAACCTGCCACCACAACCGCCACAACCACCACACCGCCACCACCACCAACCACCACACCACCACCACCACCACCACCGCCACGACCACCACCACCGGCACAACCACCACCATCACCACCACCACAGCCCACCACCACCACCACCATCACCTCAGAGTGGCCCCAAGAAATGCCCAAGAGGCGCCCAGGAGGCTTCACACATGCCCTTCAGAGGCCCCCGAGAGTCCTCCGACGAGACACCCAGAGGCATCCATCAGGACTCTGACCCAAAACCAAGGCACGGTGGCGGAGCGTCGTCGTCGTCGTCGTCGTCGTCGTCGTCGTCGTCGTCGTCGTCGTCGTCCTCGTCCACGCTCCCCGCCGCCCGCCGCCGCAGGCGCCTGCGCGAGCCCAGAAAAGGAAGTCGCCGCCCCCGCCGCCACCGCCAGCCGCCGCCGACGCAGGCGCTGGCCCGAGGAAAGGGGGAGAGGAAAAGTAGGAGAGACGGGGGGGGGGGTTGAACCCCCCCGTCCGTCAAGGGGAGGGGTGGGGGGGTCCGGCTCCCCCCCCCTCCAAGCGACCCACAACGCGCAGTGTCCAACATCCATATCACTCATTTTCAAACCATCCTCTGATTAGGGTTATCTCTGCTGTAATACGCATATACTTCTGTGAATCCGAAGCCCTGCGACCCCCCCGCCCGCCCGTAACAGGACTCCCTGGATTCTCCCTCTGCTCTCACTCTCGTTTCTGCTCTTCCGTCGCGCTTCCGCGTTTCCTCCCTGCTGGTTTTGGTGGTACAGCCAGCTCTCTAAATCATAAGTATATTCTGAATTTGGTACTATAGAGAAATATCTGCACAGTAATTTCAATATCGACACCTGCAAATAGAATATTTTTGGTCGCGGCCGCGAGCGAAAACCGCACGCGGCGAAAGCAATTGTCCGGTCCCTGGCCCCGGGGGCCTCCTGGACGGCTCAACAGAAGATCTCCCAGTACCTCGGAGCCTCCTAGACGGCCCTGCTGGGCCCAGCCGACGAGCCCAGAACAGTCAGGGCCCACGAGGGCCCGCAGCGGGCGCCCGAAGACGACCCAAAGACCACTCCCAACAGGCCCTCGAAACGCAAATAATCGTCCTCCCCCTCCTCCCCCTCCTCCTCCTCCTCCTCCTCCTCCTCCTCCTCCTCCTCCTGCTCCTCCTCCTGCTCCTGCTCCTGCTCCTGTTCCTGCTCCTCATCCTCCTCCTCCTCCTCCTCTTCCTCCTCATGCTCCTGCTCCCTCTCCTGCTCCTCTGCCTCCTCCTCCTCCTCCTCCTCCTCCTCCTCCTCCTCCTCCTCCTCCTCCTCCCTCTCCTCATCCCTTTCCTCATTCCGCTTGTGGGGACCGCATTCGGTGGAGCTCCCTGTGGCGACACGACACGTGTGCGGGGCGTGCCGAAATGCCTCCTCCTCCTCCTCCTCCTCCTCCTCCTCCTCCTCCTCCTCCTCCTCCTCCCTCTCCTCATCCCTTTCCTCATTCCGCTTGTGGGGACCGCATTCGGTGGAGCTCCCTGTGGCGACACGACACGTGTGCGGGGCGTGCCGAAATGGGCGTGGGAACCGATGCGGACTTTCTCGCTGGGGCCTTCAGTCGAGCTCCTTGTGGGACCACGAAACGTATGAGGGGTGTGCCGGAATGGGCGGGGAGCCATCTGCGAATCGTGCAACTCAAGTCTTCGGTGGAGCTCCCTATGGGACCGCGGAAGATGTGAGCGTTGTACCGAAACAGGCGGCGGACCGCATGGGGACTGTGCCGCGGGGGCCTTCGGTAGAGCTACCTATGGGGCCACGAAACGAATGAGGGGTGCACCGAAATGAGAAGCGAACAGCATGTGGACTGTGCCGCTGGGGCCTTGGATGGAGCTCCCTATAGGGCCCCGCAACGTGCAAGGGGTCTGCCGAGATGAGAGACAGGAGTGAACCCTACCACTAGGGCCCTCGGTGGAGCTTCACATGGGGTCACCAAGCGTGAGGGGTGCGTCGAAATGCGAGGCAAGAACTCATGTCCTTGGGTGAAGTGGAGTGCCCTATGTCGGGAGCGGCCAAGAGGGGGGTGTCCAAGAGGGGGGGGTGCAAATCATGACCGGCGGCATGTGCGCGGCCCAGCGGGGGGGCCAGGGACGTGATGAAATAAGAAGGGGCGCCATGAAATCTGGGGAAATATCATGGCCCACGCCATGATATCCATCCCCCCTAGTCATCACCCCCCTCTTTTCCGCCCCCGACTATGGGGCCACGAAGCGTGCGACGGGTCTGCCGGAAAGAAAAACGGGACTTCGGTGGAGCTCCCGATTGAGCCACGAAACATGCGAGAGGTGTGCCGAAATCGGAGGCGGGAAAGCGCGCGAACCCTGCAATCTGGGTGTTCGGTGGAGCTCCCTATGGGGCCACGAAGCGTGTGAAGGGTGTACCGACATGAAAGGGGGAACTCATGTGAACCCTGCCGTTGGGGCTTTGGGTGGACCTCCCTATGAGGCCACGAAGCGTGTGAGGCACGAAACGTGTGAGGGGTGTGCCGAAAATAAAAAACGGGAGTGTGTGTGAACCCTGCCACTGGGGCCTTCGGTGGAGCTCCCTATGTGGCCACGAAGCGTGTGAGGGGTGGGCCGAGATGAAGGGCGGGAACTCATGTAAACCCTGCCACTGGGGCCGTCGGTGCAGCTCCCTCTGGAGCCGCGAAGTGCGTGAGGAGTGTGCCGGAATGGCGACGAGGGGAGGGGGAGGAGGGGGCAGCGGGTGAGAGGAGAGATGCGGGGCGCTGCTGGTTCAGGTCGAAGACTCCACGCCACAGATGGCCGGGAACACCTGTGATTTGCTGCTGGCTGTTGTGCGATTGCCAAAAGCTTCACTCATCGGCCTTCCGGGCGTCAAAGGCCACCCTGAAGGCCGCCAAGGTCCCTGCAGGACCGGAACTAACCTGGCGAAGGACCCAGCCATATGCCCTTGTGAGTGCCGCAGGGCACGCGGGCCGAAGGAGGGGGAGCTCCCTCTGGGGCCACGACGCGTGTGAGGGGTGTGTCAGGTGCCAGCGAAATGAGCGTGGCCAGGGCGAGCGGAATGTTGCACTCAGCCCGCGACTGCAGTCGGACTTTTCATGCTGGCCTTCTGCGGGGCTCCTGCGGGGCTTGAAGAGCGGGACATGGGGCGAGCGAAGGGACCCCACGACTGCATGCGGACCTTTTCGTGTCGGCCTCTTGTGGAACTCCCCTGGGGCTTGACCAGTGCGGCAAGAGCAAGCGGCATGAGCCCACAGCTGCAGGCGGGCTTTTTCATGCCGGCCGCCTGTGGCGCTCCCACGGGGATCGAGAAGCGTCGCAGGGGCCAGCGAACTGAGCCCACGACTGCCTGCGGACTTTTTCATTCTGGCCTTCTGTGGAACTCCTATGTGGCTTGAACAGCGTGGCAGGGGCGAGCGGCATGAGCCCGCGACTGTATGCAAACTGTTCGTTGCGGCCTCCTGCGGAGCTCCTGCGGGGCTTGAAAAGCATGGCAAGGGTGCGCCAGGGCAGAAGCAGGGGGGAGGAGGGGGAGGACCGAGAGGGGAGGACGCGGGGCGCCGCTGACTCAAAACGAGGAGCCAACATTACACGATGGTTGGGACAACAACAAAAACGTCAAGACAGCTCAAGAGAGCCCCCAAACACCCCAACATGCACCACTATGTGTGTATGTGTAATAATATATATATATATATATATATATATAATATATATATATATGTATATGTCAATGTAATTATGTGTATAAATGTACACCTTTATATAACAAACAACACACACACAACAACAAAAAAAAAAGCCCAATATGGCCCCAAGACACCCCCCAAAACATTTCAAATAATGACCTGGTCGCCGAAGGTAACCGCAAAGGGCAGCATGATAGCCCCATGTGAAGCCCCACAGAGGCCTCCAAAAGACGTTCAGGATGCCTCCAGAGGCCCTCAACAAGTTTCAAGGAACCGTCCCCAAACAAAACCCCTTAAGGAGGGGTCTCCGCAAAAAAATGAAGACGGGTCAGAAAAATTAGCCTGGCGAAGAACCAAACCATATGCGGCCCTTTCTTCTTCATTATGTTTTATTCTTGCTTGGGCCTCCTGGGACTCCTCGTGGCACTGCTGGAACCGCCTCGGCTCTCTGGCCAGCCCGCATCAGGGCACGTCTGGCCGTGAACCTCCAGAGAGCGGTGGTCATCGCGGCCTGCCCCACACTCGCGACAACTTCTAATTACTGCAACCCTTCTCGCTGACCAAGGTGCGGGCGCCCCTCAGGGCTCCCTCGCGGTCCTCTGCCAGACGCTGGGATCTGAAGAGTAAAGCTTGCGTGTTGACCCACTTTGCTAGCCTGCGCTGGTCCTCGTCGGCGACCTTGCCCTTGCCGGCAACCTGCCGTACGCGTCCAGGAACTCCAACTGCTGCAGCCAGGACTGCCCGTCCTTCTGCCGCCGCTCTCCCAACAACTTCTCGCTAACCAAGGTGTGGGCGCCCCTCAGGAACTCCTCGTGGCACTGCTGGAGCCGCTTCGGCTCTTTGGCCAGCCCTCGCGGCCTGCCCCACACTCGCGACAACTTCTAATTACTGCAACCCTCCAAACAACTCCTCGCTGACCAAGGCGCGGGCGCCCCTCGGGGCTGCCTCGCGGTCCTCTGCCAGACGCTGGGATCTGAGGAGTACGACTTGCCTGTTAAGCCACTGGCCTGGCCTGCGCTCTTCCTCATCGGTGTCCTTACTCGTAGTCGGCAGCCTGCCAGGCGCCTGCAGGAACCCCTCGATTGCTGCAACCAGGACTGCCCGTCCTGCTGCAGCCGCTCTCCCAGCAACTTCTCGGTTTCTGTGGGGTCACCATGGGCTTCCTCGCGCGCGTCCTGGGTGCCGACCAGCTGGTCCTGGCCTCTGTACCGAAGCGCACTGCTGGAAGGAGCCGCCAGCCCCCCTGCGGGGCCATCAGGCTGCGAGGATTAGGCTTGCTGCTCCCTGCGCCTGTTGCAGTTTCAAGTCTCCAATGTTATGATCATGCTTTCTGCTTCCTATGTTAGATTGTTGAAGTCCGCGCGTACGGGGGGGGGGGCCAGACCGGCAATCTACAGCGCCCGGATCGCGTGGGACATGTAAAAATACGTGAGATTCGCGCCCCCGCGGCCATCATTCCTTGTAAATTCTTGACGCTTCGCGTATCCCCACCAGCCCATCCTACACCAGGCACTCGAACGAAGAGCGCCGATGATCGGCAGCTGTTCTCCTCCCCTCTTCCTCCTTCTCCTCCGCCTTCTCCTCCTCCTCCTCTCCTCCTCCTCCCTCTCCTCCTCCTCCTCCTCCTCCTCCTCCTCCTCCTCCTCCTCCTCCTCCTCCTCCTCCTCCTCCTCCTCCTCCTCCTCCTCCTCCTCCTCCTCCTCCTCCTCCTCCTCCTCCTCCTCCTCCTCCTCCTCCTCCTCCTCCTCCTCCTCTCCTCCTCCTCCTCCTCCTCCTCCTCCTCCTCCTCCTCCTCCTCCTCCTCCTCCTCCTCCTCCTCCTCCTCCTCCTCCTCCTCCTCCTCCTCCTCCCTCCTCCTCCTCCTCCTCCTCCTCCTCTCTCCTCCTCCTCCTCCTCCTCCTCCTCCTCCTCCTCCTCCTCCTCCTCCTCCTCCTCCTCCTCCTCCTCCTCCTCCTCCTCCTCCTCCTCCTCCTCCTCCTCCTCCTCCTCCGCCTCTTCCTCCTCCCTGGTGGCGTATTGGAAGTGTCTTCGAACGTTTTGGTGGGCTCTTGGGCCTTGCGGGCGGGCGGGCGGCGCTCCGCCCGCCCGCGCGCAGAGCCCAAGAGGGGGTCCAAGACGTCTTTTGGAACAATCTTGGAGGAGATCGATCAACGAAGGGGGGTTCCCTAATTACAGTCCCCCCCTCAGGAGCCACGATCCTCGTGTGGGGTGTCGAATTTTAGCCTTCCCAGGAGTCGATCTTGGACGCTCTAACTACCCGCGGCCCCCCCTGTCCAGGTCAGTGGGGAGGGGGTAGGGGGAGGGGTAAACCCCTCCCCGAAGGGGAAGAAGGAGGGGTGGAAGAGGAAACGCTCTAAACCACCGACGCCCAGAGGGCTGATGGGATTACGCAATGCTCGCGTCCCCGAGGCCGCATGCCCTCGTAAATCATGCAATTCTTGCGTCCCGGAAGCAACAAACCTTCGTAAACTATGCGATAGTCGCCCCCCCGAAGCCAAGATTCGCAACCCCGAGGCCATAGGTCCTCGCAAACACGCAATTCTTGCGTCCCCGAAGTTACAGGCCCTCGTACATTGCGCAACACTCGCGTCCCCGAAGCCAGAAACCTTTTTGCAAATCACGCCGCAGTGGCACTGCCGAGGCCAAGAGCCCCGAGGCGCCCGAAGATGGTTCCAAGACGGCCCAAGAGGGCCCCAAGAGGCCCCGAGAGCGCTCCACGAGGCGTCCCGAGAGAGCCCCAAGAGGCCCAAATCGTCGATGCTACCTCGGCTTTTGAAGGATTTTGACCTCATCGCATGCTCGGCCTTCCGACGCTCCAAGACGGCTCACAACGCTCCCAAGACCGCCCCAAGACAGCCAATGACGCCTCCAAGAGGGCTCCAAGACGGCCCAAGAGGGCTTCAAGATGGCCGAAGAAACGCTTCGAGAAGGCCCAAGAGGCCGCCGAGAGACCCCAAGAGACCCCAAGAGGCGACCAAGACACGCCCAAGAGGTCTCCAAGAGGCCCAGAAAGATACCCCACGAGTCACCGAGAGGCCCCCAAGAGGCACCCAAACCGCCTCCAAGAGGCCTCCGAGAGGCCCCCCCGCGACACCCCAATACAAGAAACCTCAAGCCCACAACCCAGGCACGGCGGCGGGATGGACCGAAGGCCACTCGGATAACGCCAACGTCTCAATATGAGCTGATGATGCCTATCCGCCCCCGCATCATGCTCCCAGATGCGCCAAGGCAGCGCCGGGACGCACCGACGCGACTCTGATATATCCCATTCTGACAGAGAGGGGGTCAGCGGCCGGGGGCGAGGCCCTTGCAGATAATATGCGCCAGCGGCTTGCTGGGTTGCAGTCCAAGGACTCGGCCCACGGCTTGCACAATGCTGACGCAGCTGCGCTGGGGCTGCACGAAAAAGCACGCATCGGCGCTCCCAATGTGAATCCCCTCGCCGAGAACCTGCACCGTCGCGAGCACGTGGGCAGCACCCTGAAGAGGGCCCGAGAGTGCTTTCGCTGGCGCTGCGCGCGTGGGGTCTCGCTGTTGATGTGCCAAGGAACGAGTCCAAACTTCACCACCTCGCTCTTGGAGAGAGGCGCCTCGTCTATCGAATTGCAACATGCAAGGACGCGGCGGAGATGCTCCATCTTCGCAGAGAGCAAGCCCGCGAGAGCAGCGAGCGTTGTCTCATCACCCACTACTGGGACAACCAAGTCGTAATCACACAATACGCCATCATCGATCGCCTGGCCCATTCCATAAGAGTGGACGGGACATGCCTCATGCGTCTCGCCCTGCGGGAACATCGGCGGAAAAGGATGATGATCCTCGTCAACAAGTATATCAAACAAATATTTCCCAGGAGGTGAAGAGAGTCCGTCACACTGATGTATCCTGGCGCATCCCACGCGGTCTTCGCGTTATACCTGGTCCCGACAGGACAGAATTCAGGAAATGTCGCAAGATGCTGCCGGAGCAGAGCGAGGGGCGGGACCGAAACCAGGACGCGGCCTGAAGCATTATCGGCCAGTCTCCGCATCACCAGCGTCTTGCCCGTGCCGCATGCCATCTCGATGATGCGGGCTCCAGCCTTGCAGGCACGGATGCAGTCTCGCTGACATGGTCTGAGGGAGGCAGCCGCTAGGCAGTCCCGCTGAGGCGGTCGGAGCGCTGCTACAGCGCTGGACAGCAGCTCATCGACGAAACTGCTTGATAAAACGTCGTGCCTCACGCCAACAGACTCAATGACGGTTGCTGCATCGCTGGTCAGGCGGGATGTATCCGACGTCGCCAGCATCTTGGAAGCCCTGGACATGTGTTGCGCCATGCATATGAAGCTGACAACGCCCTTCGTCTGCACAGTACTGTTGCAGTACTTGCACTGCACCGCCCGCTCACCGTCCAAGCTGACCAAATCCACACCAATGTCTCTGCGTATCAGATTCCTTGAGCAGGGACCGACCGTCCCGGCATTCCTATGGGCCTACCACGACATGTTCTTAGAACCCCAAGATATTTGAAACACAAAAACAATGTTCTTAGATCATCAACCCGACGTGTTGAAACAAGACAGTCTCAGCCAGAAATGTTCTGAGAACATGTCGTGCGGATCGCAAAGATTATTCGAACATTCTTCGGTGCGCCTATAGGCAAGCCAGGACGCTTCGCCACTGCTGGAGCTCCTCGGAGCCAACCACCAGGGCGGCAGCTCCTTCACCAGAACGGCGCCGTGCCGCGGCGCCGCCGCCCACTCGAGGCGCTGCCGGAGCGCCAAGTGCGGCCACCGCGGCGCCGCCACGGCAGGCTCGCGGATGCCCCACATGCAGTCGGCGTGCCGCTGCTCGCCCCGCTCGCTCGGCCGCCGCCGCCCGCCGCCGCCGGGCGCCGCCCGGCCGGCGCCTGCCCACGAGGCGACCGCCGCGGCCTGCGGGCCCCCCCGTCGGCCCACGAGGCCCCGACGACCACGCCGCCCGCGTGCCGCGCCGCGGCCGGCGGCACGCGGCGCCCAGCAGCAGGCAGGCGCGCCGGGGGCGCCCCGCGGTGGCCACGCCGCCGGCGCGGGCGCGGGGGCGCCATTCGGCGGGCTGGAGGCGCGGGCGAGGCCGCGCGGGGGGTGAGGCGAGGCCGCAGGCCGGGGGCGGCTCGAGGCAAAATGGCTGCGGGCCCAACCGTATGCAGTCGTTGAGCCCGCGAGGCAGGTGGGCCGAGGGAGGGTGAGCTGCCCTATGGGGCCACGGCGCCTGTGAGGGGGGTGCCGAATTGGACACAGAGCAGGAGCTGGAAAACGTGCAGGGGCAGGCATACGAGCATTGCAAGTTGGGTATTGTGTGTAGCCTTCTATGGGAAATGAGCGTGGTCCGGGCGAGCGAGATCATGAACTCAGCCAGCGACTGCACGCGGACTTTTTCAAGTTGGCCTTCTGTGGAGCTCCCGATGGGGCCTGAAAAAAAGTATCAGGGGCGAGCGAAAAGAGTCCACGACTGCATGCGGACTTTTTCATTCTGGGCTTTGTGTGGAGCTGCTTTGGGGCTCGGGGACAGGGAGCCCCACCCACGGCCTACGGCCCCAGAAACAGGGTTCGTACAGCATCCCCCCGCCCAGTTCGTCACACCCCTCACGCGTATCGCTCCCTGGAAGGAGCTCTACCAATGACAAAATGGGCAACTTCGCATGGCGTCCCCCCGCCCATGTCGGCGCATGCCTCACACGGATCGTGCTCCACTTGGAATTCCCCATGCGGCCTCGCGGGGGCATCTGGTTTACTCGGCACTCACTTCACGCGGATTTAGCGCCACTGTGCTCCTGTGCACGCTTGCTCCGAAATGTTATGGCACTCCGTGCGGCGCTTTCGTCAGGGATCATTCGAGGCCAGACGACCATCCGATCTTAGGGGTGAAATGCCATTGTGCTTTGAGCGCCTCAGATGCAGCGGAGCGTGCTGGGACTCAGGAGGCACTTGCCTGATGAAACGTATGATTCTGGATGATCATCCGAACGAGGAGAAGACACTGCACTCAGCACGCATTGAGTGCTCCAGCTGCCGCTTGGCCTCGCGAGGCCTCCGCCTGAGGGCCTGAGGATACATAGGAAGCCGAACCGAAGGACTTGGACTCTCTGGGGTCTTGGAAGCCTCTTGGCCTCTGGGGGCCTCCTGGGGGCCTCCTGGGGGCCTCTTAGGGGCCTCTTGGGGCCGTCTGGGCGCCATCGTGAGCTGTCTTGGCCGTGGGGAGGCTATGTTGGGCCGTTCTGGCGGTCTCGAGGACCGTCTTGAAGCAATATTCGGCCGTGTTGGGGCTATCTTGAAGGGTCCCGAAGGCCCCAGTGGATTGTCTTGGGGCTCACTCGGGCTCATCTGGTGCGCTCTTGGCCCGTCCGACGTTTTCAAGAACCATCTGGGGAACACTCTGTGAGGCGAGTTGGGAGCCGTCTTGTGGCCTTGTGTGGCTCCTCTTGGGGCAGGCTTGGGCCACTTGACAACCATCCAGAAGCCACAGAAGCCCATCGGAAGCGAAAAGGCGAGACCCACAATAACTCGTGTCTCTTGTTTTTGTCACTGATTTGGACCTCTTGGGGTCCTCTCGAAAGCCTCCTCGAGTCAGAGTCCTCTTAACAAATCAACAGAGTTTGCCTCTCGAGGCCCTTTCGCAGGCCATGTCGGACCCGTTCGCGCGGTCTTAGGGGTCTATTCTGGCCAGCTCGTGGCCATCTAGGAGTCCCTTTGGCCACGTTGATCCGTCGTGGCCGCCCCTTTGCGTCACTTGGGGCCGTCCTGGAGAACCCTGGAGGCCTGGAAAATCGCTCGGAGCGCTGAGAAGAGCCCGCCGGCCCCAGGGACTAAAGTCTGGTGCGGGGGGGTCGGGTGGGGGAGTTTTGAAAACATGTAGGGTCCCAGGGACTTGGGGACCCAGACGCCTGTGTGTATGCATATGTTTGTATAAATATAAGTATATCACACAGACACCTTAAGGCCAACGCCGTCCATGGCAACAGCAAAACCGAAAAACGCCCAAACGACAGCGAGTCCGAAACCGACCGAGTCCGACAGGCCGCAAGCAGCCCACAACGGCGCGGCGACGCTGCAACTAGAGGCCTGCTAGATGGGGTCTGAGCAGATGGAGTCGGAGGATCGCGCCGCATCGCCAATGCATCTACGATGCATCGCCGACGTCGGCGACGCATCGGCGACGTCGGCGTGCAGAAAATCGGCCGCAGCATCGAGTCGCATCGTCGATGCATCGGCGACGCGGCGCGATCCTCCGACCCCATCTGCTCCGACCCCATCTAGGAGGCCTAGAGCAACAACGCACCAACCGACCGAACCGAACTGACCGAGCGTAACCGACTGCGGCGCAGCGGAACCGACCGAAGCGCGAGTACAGTCGGGGCGTTGACCTAAGGCACCCTAAATAAGGAACGAGGCCCCTTTTTCCCATGAGTTCAACCTCGATTTCCTATCGAAAACATAAGGAAACCCGAGGCAAATGTTGAAACAATCAAGGAACACCGAGCCCCTCCCCAACAAGAAGGGTTCCATCTTCAGCGCCCCGACTGTACACCCTCGAGGCCCGTCGTCCCGCCAGGACCCGTTTGCTCCGCGGCAGGCCCGCGTCGCGCAGGGGGCGTGCCGCGTGCGTGCGCGCCCCCGCTCAAGCGCAGGCCATCGCCTGGGGGTGCTGCCGCAGGGCCCGGCTGGCGGAGCCGCCTCGGCCGCCCCGGCCGCCCCCCGAGCGGCGGGCGCTATTCGTTGTAGCGGAGGGGGGCACAGACCCTCCCCCTCTGCTCCTCCTCCTGCTCCTCCTCCTCCTTTTCCTCCACCACCTCCACCTCCTCCTGCTCCTCCCCCTCCTCCTCCTCCTCCTCCTCCTCCTCCTGCTCCTCCTTCCTCCTCCTCCTCCTCCTGCTCCTCCTATCCTCCTCCTCCTCCTCCTCCTCCTCCTCCTGCTCCTCCTGCTCCTCCTCCTCCTCTCCTCCTCCTCCTCCTCTCCTCCTCCTCCTCCTGCTCCTCTCCCTCCTCCTCCTCCTCCCCTCCACCACCTCCACCTACCTCCACCTCCACCTCCTCCTGCTCCTCCCCCTCCTCCTCCTTCTCCTCCTCCTCCTCCTCCTCCTCCTCCTCCACCTCCACCTCCACCTCCACCTCCACCTCCACCTCCACCTCCACCTCCACCTCCACCTCCACCTCCTCCCCCTGTTTTCCTCGTCATGTGTCCCTCCCTCTCCCCGTCGCCCGTCCCTTCCCCCCCTGCTCCTGCTCCTGCTGAGCCCCTGCTGGCGGACATGTGCGCTCCATGAAGCTACGCGGACTGGGCGGCTGCGGCGCCGTCACCCTGCCGCACACCACCCTCGTGGCGGCCGCGGCGGGGCGAGGAGGTCGATGTCGGCGAGTCGGCGGCTACAGACTCGATCCGCTCGAGTGCAGCGCGCCACCGCGGCAAGAGCCGAGGCGCTGTCCGTGCGTCCAGGAGGCTGCAACCGGCGTGCGTGGACAGGACGTCAACGTAGGCGATGCGGCAGCATGTTTCGACCGCGACCAGGAACACAACGTTGCCGTGACGCGCACGTCTGTCAGACGCCGCCACTGGAGCCGCCCCGCTGGGGCCGGTGGCCGCCTGCGTGCAGCGCTGTGCGCGGGCAGCGGGCCGACACATCGAGGTAGAGCGGCAGCACGCTGCCCAGAAGCATGACCAGCAAGCCCTTGATCGCTTCCTCAGTGCACCAGTTGCGCCTCCTCGGGTTCGGCTCAGGGACCGTGCGCCCCATGTCAACCTCGGCACGGCACGAGCGCAGCAGCCTGGCCACTGCTGCCGCGGAATCCTATGCGGACGCATGCGTGCAGGCTGGTGTATGCTCCTCCTCCTCCTCCTCCTCCTCCTCCTCCTCCTCTTCCTCCTCCTCCTCCTCCTGTTCCTCCTCTCCTCCATCCCTTTTCCTATAAATAACTACTCCTTGTCGCGCCCCCAGTCGTGTCGGGCCTCAGACTTCCTCGCCACTCACGATCCCGAAGCTTGACATCTGCAACAGCTTGCTTCATGGATGGGAAGGGGGCCGTTTTCAAAAAGTGGCTCTCTCCGGAACGCCGCGCACATTCGTCTCAGAAGTTTACACCGCTTTCACAGATCGAGGACGGGTGGTTTCCAAGATGTGGCTATCGCCTTAGCGCCGCGCGCATTCGTCCCAAAGTTTGCAGCGCTCTCACGGGAGGAAGGGGTGTCAATGTCGTTGTTGCCTCAGCGCCTCACACACTCGCATTTGCAACTGTGACGCAAATTCACGGATGGAGGAGGGGTGACTTTCAAATGGTGTTGTCGCCTCAGCGCCGGCCACATTCGTCTGAAACGCTTGCAGCAACTCAACAGATTGACGCCGTTTCCTGTTCAAAACATGGCTCTCGCCTTGGTGCCACGTCCACTCGTCCTTAAAGTCTGCAGCAGGTTCACGCACAGCGGGGGGACGTCTTCAAAATGTGATTTTCGCACGTTCGTCTTGAAGGTTTGCATACTGCTCACGGATGGAAGGGGGGTCGTATTCACAACGGTGCTCTCGCCTAAGAGCCGCGCACAGTCGTCTTAAAGGATGTACTAGCTTCGTCTTTTACACATGGAGCTCTCTCCACAGCACCGCGCGCATTGGCTGTTCAAGGCAACGTTTAGCAAGACGGGGGGCTGCTCTTCTCCAGCCTGGGATTCTCGCAGGAGACGTCGTGAAAAGCTTACGGACCCAAAACTTCGGCGCACGCCACGCTGAACGAATCCAGGGCGGCCCTTTTGCCCGACCCTCCTGTGAGTAGGGTCGTCGCTTCGAATCCGCAGCGCCCCGCGTCTCATCCCCTCTCCTTCTCTTCCAGCTCTTCCTCCTCCTCCTCGTCCTCCTCCTCCTCCTGCTCA